GTGCTTGATATGTAAGAGGTGCCCAGTAACTATTAGTTGTGTTTTAAGGAAAACTGTATTCTGGTTTGTTTAAAGTAAGAAAGACCTCTGAGGTGAAGGTATTCTCCCCAGCTCGACTCTCGCCTTCCGATTGCTAACCCCTGAGCCCCTGTGAGACAGTTACAACCTGGCCTCAGTTCTGCTGTGGAGGGTTGGCAGGGGTCTGCCTTGTGCTTCAGAAAGAATAGCCAAGGGGAGAGCAGTGTCCTCCCAAGACCCGAGTGGTGACACCGGGGCCATGACCAATAGAACAGAGGAGGTCTGTGCCCCTCAGAGCAGCAACTTCATGTGGGTCATTGGTAGCTGAGGCTGCAAAGGGCAGCAGGAATAAGGCAGAAAGTACACAAATTGCCTGTCCCTCAGCACAGTTGGGATAATACCCTTGGGCTCTGGTGGGGGCGGTGGTCACATGGAAGAAAAGTAAAACCTGACCATAAGGTTGGTGGAATTACACGATCTCTCCATTGAGCATTGAAATAACGCATCCCTATCTTTTAGGCACACGCTTTATTTGTTCCGTTGGGCTGGAAAGAAGTTTGAGGAAATGTCACTGTCTACCCTCCCTTTGTCTTTTCTTTATCAAGAACATCCAAGAAGACCTAGATGGGAAAAGTTAGAGAGACAGTGAGCACAATAGCAAAGGATAAAGTTACAAAGGATAAAGCAACATCTCTTTGAGATAAGGGAGCCTGTAATGTTTTTGCTTGTATTTGTTTTCCCTCTGCTTCCACTTTTCACCGAGCCTGCTTCCCCAAAGCCATAGCTAAAGATCAATGCCAATAACTGGTACCTGTTCTCCTGTGTTATTGGGAGTGGTGTCAGATCACTGAACTTGACATCTACTATGATCATCCGTGCTATACCGAATTAGTGGCCCCAATTCTTTGTCCTTCCCTGTACCCACATGTGACTTTGCAGTTCCTGCCACAAAAGCAGAGTGTATTACCCTTCCCCTTGACTTTGGACTTGACCCCATGACTTACTTTGGCAAGGTAGCAGATGTGACACAATTAGGAGCTTAAAAAATGCTTGCGTGGTGAGGCTGGCCTCTTGCACTCTGTTATTGGAGAAGAATCCTCCACTCTGGGTAGCTTCTCCCTCCAGTCTGGGTCCCAGAATGAAAACACACAGAGAAAAGGTCTGAGCTGGCCAGACCCACAGCTTGAATGGAGCTTCTCTGCTGACCCCTGCCTAAACCTCTGGTTAGCCTGTGGACACGTGGACACATAAATGATTGCTGTCGTAAATCACTGAGTTTTGGGGTGATTTTATTATACAGTGGTAGCTGACTAATACACCCCATTTCTGGTGGAATGGAGGTAGAAAGGAATGCTTTTTGATAGGAATTCATCTGTCACCGGGGAAATGCCACTACATCAAAGGCTGGAGAGGAAAAAAGGTAATGGGGCTCGGGTGACAAGGAGGCTATAAGAAAAACAAGATGAATCTGGAGGATGAGAGAAAATAAAATCAGAGCAGTATCACCCCTAGGAGAGGGCTGTGCAAAGTGACTTCCTTTCAAAGAGTATAGTATGGGGAAGGGGGAGGGGGAAGAGTAACTTGGCAGTGGACTACCTCAGCCGGTGACCAAGGTCGACATTATCAGTGGTGAGTCAGGCTGATAGTGTGTAAGCCAGGTGTGATATGATGAGAATGGCGCCTTAACCTCTGGTCCTCTTCCCCAAACCCACAACCCCAGTCTAAGCATGGCAAAAACATCAAACTCCAATTGAGGGGCATTCTATAAGATAGCTGACCAGCATTTCTCAAAACTGCCAAGGTTAACAGAAACAGGGGAAGTCTGCGGGGAGGAGAATTGGATGAAGATGGTCAAAAGGTACAAACTTCCACTTATAAGATGAAGAAGTACTGGGGATGGAGTATACAGCATAGTGACTATAGTTTACCCTGCTGTGTGGTTTGCAAGTTGCTGAGAGATTAGATCCTGAAGGTTCTCCTCAAAAGGAAAAAAAAACATTTCTTTTTCTTTTCTTTTCTTTTCCTTTCCCTTTTCTTTCTTTCTTTCTTTTTTCTTTCTTTCTTTCTTTCTTTCTTTCTATACAAGATGATGGTATTAACTGAACTTATTGTGGTCATCATTTCATAGTGTATGTAAGTCAAGTCATTATGCTGTACACCTTAAACTTATACAGTGCTGTATGTCAATTATATCTCAATTAAACTGAAAGAAAAAATATTTAAAAGCAAAAACAAAACAGGAAAAGTCTGAGAAACTGTCAGAGCTTAAGGCAACATAATAATGTAATGTGGTATCATGGATGGGATGCTGAAGAGAAAAAGAAAAGCTGAGGAAATCTAAATTAGTTCATGATAATGTATCAATATTGATTTATTAGTTGTGACAAATGTACCATATGTAGGACATTAACAATAGGGGAATCTGGGTGCGGGGTACAGGAGAACTCTGTACAATATTTGCCTTTTTCTGTAAACCTAAAACTCGTCTAAATTAAAAGTATATTTTTAACAACTAGAACAGTACGATTTTCTTAACCAAATTCTCACTTTTCCCCCCAAAGACTTTTCAAATTTTTTTTGCTTTGATTTCACTCATTGATATTGCTTCCTTCTCTTTCCTTAAGGCTTGGAAATCCCAGTTCACTCACCTCCCTTTGAGATAGTGTGTTCAATTTATCTCCCTGCCCTTCATTTGCTCCCATGTCACCTGCTGTCATCCTAGCACATCTGACCAGTTTTCCTGTTCCCTGATTTGTGCGCGTCGATAGCACGCCACCCTGGCCAGGGCAAGACTGGGCAGGTCAGGGCAGCCAACCCACCATCATCTCAGCCACTCAAACTTTGTCATCTTAAAGAGCGTATCTTGTTTTCTTTGAGCAAAGATTATTTCTTTGAGGAACTCTGAAAACAACCCAGCATTCTCATTCTAGGCACCAAAAAAATCTTAGAAGTTAAGAACATCATAGCAGGAACTCTGAAAATCATCTGGCCTACACCTCTCATTTTAAAGATGAGGGCCAGAAAAAATAAAGTTAACAGGGTTAAGCTCAAAACCAGGTTTCCTAATGCAGACATGATATGTGCAGTTCCTTACACGAACTTGTTAGAGAAATAATGACCCAGATCAACTACATTCGTATCAGAAAATAGCTATTAAGTAGCTACTTTGGGCAAAGCATTGTGCTAGATGTTGGAGGCAACAGAAACATGAGCCAGAACTGTGTCTGCTCCCAGGGAGCTTCCATTCTAGGGATGGGTAGAAAATAACACCCATATGTGGAATAAATATAATAGAAGCAAGAATAATGTATGTGCCATAAGTAGTATAAGGTTGTGAGGAGGGAGGCATGACATCCAACTGAGGCTATCAAGAAAGGATTCATGGAGGGGGTTTCATTTGTGGTGGACTTGGAAGGATGGCTGATCTTGGTAGGTGGAGTTGAGGGCAGAGGTGGGGAGTGGGCGAGACGCTGGGAACAGAAGAGCATGAGCCACGTCCGAAACATGGAAAAGGATAGTCTGCATTTGAGGAAAAACAAACCATTGGGTTTGGTAAGAAGATTCTTCAATAGACTAGAATAGCATGATGTAGGGCTTTCAGTGACTGTGGCTTTGGTATTTAATTCTGTAAGGAATAAGGGATGCCCAGGGGCGCCTGGGTGGCTCAGTCGTTGAGCGTCTGCCTTCTGCTTGGGTCATGATCCCGGGGTCCTGGGATTGAGTCCCACATCGGGCTCCCTGCTCGGCGGGAAGCCTGCTTCTCCCTCTCCCACTCCCCCTGCTTGTGTTCCC